GGGGAAATATTTTATTACTGTTGAAATTTCAAGTTTCAACAATACAATGCATACATTTGAATAAGTCTGTATCTTCTTTAGTTACCAACAGGCTGGTTGATTTATTGTTAATCACAAACTATGCAATGGATTATCCGTGATCTGCACAAAACTAATATCGAAACCCAAGTTTTAGCGTTGTAAGCACGCAGATTTACCGCAGATTTGGTGTGGGCATGTCTTTGGGTTTGTCTGTTTTTAGTTAAGCACAAAGTTACACAAAGGGCTATCTGTGCTGTAGACATGCCGCTATGCCACTGGGGGGGGGGCTTGTCTTTGTGAAACTTATATGTACTCACACAAACAATGTCGTTTTAAATCTCTGTTCATATCTGACTATTTGCAATCTTAACAATTAAATGACGATCTGAATATTTTTAACTTGTTCTCGTAGAGAAGAATACAATTTCTATACATTTTTATAGCGTATATTTAAAATACAGATTAGTTCTCGATTATTTAAAAAACAATATTAATATTATCAACTCTTATCCTTTTTTTTCACTGTAGCATTATTGCCAACATTTTAAACTGCCCTTGCTTGACGTCACTTCATGTACAGAACGGATGGAACAGCCTAGGTACTTTTAAACTTACTCAAAGTCCTTACTCAGAACGAGTAACGTTAATCGTTATTCGATCTATCTGAGGAACAATTGCAAGTAGTTAGGGCCGAGTACAACCCAGCAGTTATCATGCTTGACTGTGGACTTTAGGTTTCGTGGTTCGTGTTCCGTTACCGAAAAAAAAGAAGTGCGAAGCGCGCCCTGCACTTTCAGGCACTGGGAACATTATAAAAGTAACAGTCAAATCCTACTATTCAATCTGACAAGAGTAACCAACAGTTGGCGGTGGGTGGTATTGACTAGTTATCTTCCCTCTAGTCTATCACTTCAAAATTAAGGATAACTCATGCAGTTTTTGGCGAAATCCAACAAACAAAAGAGCAATTAAGAACATATCCTATTGACTGCCAGAAGAATGACCTCTTATTGATCGGGCTGCTTAGCTCAGTGCCAAAGCTTTTGTAAAGTGTGATAGGTTTGTGAAAAAAAAAGTCTGAATTTATTTATTCTTAATCTTAGAAAACATTTATATGCATTTGATTTTAGCGAATAGTTGATAAATTATTTTATTTAAGGTTTGATTCAGACTTAAGAGCTGTTATATATATATATTAAATAAACGTAAGCATTACAATGCACGTAAGATATTTCGATAAAAAATATCTTGTCAAAAAATAAAATAAAATAGTCTTTTTGATGTTGTCTCCAAACAATGTATTTATACATATGATATGGTGTTCCACATCCATTAAGTATTAACGTTCGTCCTTTCTCTCCTTGAAAGCTTCGTTCGGCACCGGGTTTGTAGGTTTTTGGGGACCTGGGAGGGTCAAATACGTTTTCGACCTCTTCCTCCTGTTATACAGAGATTGGGTTTGTTTGAATTTCGCGCAAAGCTATACGAGTGAGAGACTAGAGGGAAGGCAGCTAGTCATTACCACCGACCGTCAACTCTTAGGCTACTCTTTTACCAGCAAATTGACCATCATGTATAACGCCCCCACGGCTGAAAGGGCGAGCATGTTTGGTCGAGCTTCCTAACCACCTGCCCATGTCTACAGAGATAAATAGGAGAAACATAGTGAAGTTAGAGATATTTCTAACCATGCACATTAGAAAAACGACATTTTTAATTCCCCATTTCTGTTCAAAATCATATTTCTACATTGAGGAACCAGAAAACTATTAACTACATATATTAAACTCAATAGCTGTGAGCTACTAGAACAAATAGGAACTAATATATATATATGTCACTCGACGTGTTTCTTTGTGTGAAATAACCGAATACCCAAAACAATGCATAACAGAACCAGCAAAGTCCCAACATCATCTAGAGCTGAAGAAAGAAATGAAGCAGTATAAATAAAGCTAAAATTATTGCTTTAGATATTAAAATGAAATTCAACCGTAAATTGATCGAAAACTTAGTATATATATATATATTTTAAAAAGTTCAACACAAAGAAGAGTTTTTATAAGGAGAGTAATCAAGAAATGATCCATCAAGGGCATATAAACACAATAGTAAACTATCTTAGTGGAACTATAATGGAACGGAAATTTTCTTTTTTTTCTGATGCAAGAATGGAAGATGTTATCAAAGGTAATTGTATAATGAAGAAGCGGTAGGCAGTGATCAATGAACGTTTAAATGGCACGTATTTGATTTTCGGAAGAATAATGATGAAAAACCGACTACCAAGCTCAAAAAGTATAGTAATTGGATAAAAAGGAAAATGATAATGACATAAAAGCTTCGAATTGCCAGCTTCAAGTCCCGATGCTCATCCAGTTGAAAACGTACGGCAACTAAACTACAGCAACTTTTAGAGATTCTACAACTAATATTGAAGAGGATACTGTTGGCATTCTTGAAAAAACATTTGGATCTATGCCTGATCAATATTGTCATGTAGTTAAGGTTAGAGTAGGACATAGTAAATACAGATTGTTCAAACTAATATTCTGGTAATCATTGTGAGTATTGAAGATTGGGAAAAAACAAAAGTTTAATGAATTATATCAATCAACCAGGGGGAAAGAGTTGCAGAAAACAGTTAAGATAATATATTTACTGGAAATAGACAATATAACAAACTTTTAGAAATTGAAAAAAAAGAATAGATTCCCAAAGATTAGTCATTTGTACTGGTTTGCAAAAAAAAATCAAGATTTGCAGATGTTAGTAGACGAAGCAAACTTACAAAAATCAACCAAAAAAAAAAAACAGGCGTGCAGCAAACAGTCGAGAAATTAGGCTTATAGAAGCAGGGCAAACGAACAAACTTATTAAAAAGAATCAAAGGAACAAACATGAAGAAGTCAATCAAGGAAAGAAACTTGAATTAATCTGTCAAGAAAATAGAGTCAAATGAACAAAATTGCGAAAATAAGCGAATGAAACAGTCTTTGCAGAAATAGTGAATGCTTCAAATTTATAGAAATGAGTCAAGGAAATGATTTTGGAGAAATATTTATTATTAATAAGAATAAATAAATGATAATGCTTCTCGGAAAACTCAATGAATTTAGGGATTTTGTTTCAGATATTTTTAAACTAAAAAATAAGAAATATTTGTTTTACCGTAAGACAGAAACAAGATGGCGCCAAAGTATTTTTACAGGATAGAAACGCATCGAAACAGTAACATCACAGAACAGAAAAATGCAGCTTAACAGGGAAAACAATGGCACAGGAAGAATATTGTCAAAAGGGAAAAAATATCGCAAAAAAAAACTCGTACGATAGTTCAATATTTCAGAAAGCAACAGTATTAGTTGACCGAAAATGCCATAAGAGAAGATTATCAATAAAAGATGTAAGAATGTTCTATCAAAGACCAATTTCACAAGAAGAGAATAACATCACAGAAGAGAATAATATTAAAATAATGAAATTGTAACTCGAAAAAAAACAACATAGAACAGAAGAAAATATGTGATAGCGGAGCACAATATCATGACGAAGAACAGTGTATGAAAAATCAAACATTATTACAGGTGAGAAAACGTCACAGGAAAAACATTATGGTAGAACAGAAAAACGACAAAACAAAATGTAGGAAAGAAAATTGACACATCAAATAAAACAATGTCACAATAAAGTTAATAAGGAATAAACAAAATCTAAGTCATACAGGTACTACATATTAAATCACTTTTATGTACTTTGATCAGAGAACCATACTTGTTTGTAAGATCAGGCATAATAAGTGATACGTTATAACTATATAGTTTACTCGAATGATTAAGTAGGTTAGAATAAGCTTAGTTGTTCATTAGTTACTATTTCAAACTAAACACAACCTCGAAGTTTCATAGAAAAAATAATAAATGCAAAGACAATTATTCTGGACTTATTTACTCCTTTTTTTACCAGAGAATTTCCGCAGGATTCAACTACATGAATATCTCTGAGAACCCAGCCAGAAGTGAAATAAACAAGTATTGTCGTAATTACACGAATAAGACTAGAACAAGTCTTAAACTAAATTTTGCGCAAAAGAAATTAGATTACTGTACCAAATTAGCATAAAATTCATTAAACAGCTTGTAAGTTTACCTTATATATATACTTATACCCCTATAACTAAGAGATATTGATATATGCTGTGCGAGTGTGTTTTTCTTTCCGTTATTTAGTTTCAACTGTCCTCTTATAAAGGTTAGCGGTATACTATCATACACATAGCAAATATCAGAAACTTTTACGAGTACAAAATCATTTAATGTATTGACTCTGAAAGGTTACCCAGAATTATTGAAGATTTTTTATGGTAATCACAGATGTTTATTAGCATAAAGCAAATACTTTAAAAGTAGTACATAAAACAACAGCTGTGTATTTCATAGCTTTTTCCTCGAGGATTACTCAGGCAGGCTGAAACTTTCATAAATATACCTGGCAAGAAGGATTATTTTGAATTATCAAATGTTGTACCTTTCGTTGATATCGAGGAAAATGATAGAATTGCAGTAATTAGCCTAAAAGTTAATAGCATTAATAACTATAAAGTATAAAGCAAATTTTTTTATTATTTTAGTCTTGCTTAGAGGGACACAGAAAGTTCTAATGATATAACTGGATAAATAGAAATTGTTTTCTCGGAAATACAATCGTCGGCTGATTACTAATAATATATATTTCGATTATAATTTAGAGTTAGTGTGATCAATATTAAAATGATCAGTGTAGCAGTGACAATGTGAAACTACAAGTTCATTTCAAAAGTGTAATCCTTCTGACACTAGCATGACGCTGATGATAGAAGCTTACTTCCCAATACCACCTTCAGCACGAGAAGTGAGATGGGCACGTGACTTACAAAACCCAATGAACATTGGGCAAAGCCCTGGTCGCTGGAGCCTAGAGTGACAAAAACCACCGTGTGTGCTGGATGGTTATAGTTTGTATTTCAGTGTATCATCTTTCGCACAAGAAGACTATATAGCAGATATCTCCAGGAAAATCATTACAGAAGAACGAGAGACTCTTTGATATCATAATCAAGAAGAAGAAGCCTAAGGTAATAAACTGTGAAATGTTGTTAAACACTAAAAATCTAAGAAAGCAATAAATGTTTTTCCCTTTAAGTTGTGCATTTGATAACGAATATTACGTTACGTCAAATACATTATCTAAGGTATATATTTAGTATAAATTTCTTATTATGATTTCAATAGACATATCTAAATCATAATCTAAACATGCTTTGTTCAAATCATTACAATTTGACGCCGAGGACAATATACTGAGATCCAACGATTGTTCTTAAGTCCGATTGACAATTTATGTTGATGTATATAAAAAAAAACATTAAGAGCTCATAAATACATATGTTTATGATATTTTTATTTGTGTTGAAAACAGTGATTTCATAAAAATTGCGCAGAACTTGATTTAGATGTTCTTTTTTCCCCGTGTGTTTCAGCAGAATCATGAAACTACAACTTTTCCTGTACATCTTGGTGTTGTTCTGGACATTAGCAATCGCTTCTGAAGGTATCGTTCTTTTTCTTAGATCTTGTTTTAAAAAGACGAAGTAGAACCCTTTTTGCTTCCAAAAAATTCCAAATGATTGTTTTTCCATTACCAACTCAAATTTAAAGTATATGATCCATGACATTATTTCAAGTCGTTTACATTTAAATTCGGTATGAATTATGCAGAAAAATGCCAATAAACATTTTAAAATAGGAGAGCAAGAAGATGCAAAAATTGTATAAGGTTTAGACAAATTACAAAATATAAAGAATCAATGTAATCAAATATAAAATACTAAAAACGTGTAAAATTTGAACTTTATGTCAACAACAAAGTGGAGCAAAGATTTCACATATCCAGGAATTTATTATATATAACAATTATCTGTATGTTATAAAGTTACAGTTCTATATAGGTCAGCGTATGAATTCCAATAGGTGCTGGAAAACGTTAGAATTGTAACTTACCACATATGAAGCCCGAAGAATGTATTTGAGAAATGTTGTTTTCCATAAATATCGCCAATCACAAGACAAAAGTTTGAATTTTATAATATTCAGTTTGCAAATCATGATTTAAAAATAAACTCTTTAACTGGGTAAATTAAAATTTTGTTTTCAATACGAAACCAAAAATTATTGATTTCTTTTAAATTGAATCTCAAAATACTAATTTCAAAAATATCAGCTAATGGGCTTTTTAGTATACTTTATTCCCAACAGATGTTAGCTATTAACAGTATCTTTAAATAAAAAAAACTATAACTTATTGTTTGTTTGCAGTTAAGCACAAAGCTATACAATATCTGTGCTGTGCCTACCATGGGTATCGAAACCTGGTTTCTAGCGTTATAAGTATTTGGATTTATCGCCGAATCACTAGGTGGGCAATATAGTTTATTTATAACCACAAATATTTCATAGGAAACAATAATTCTAAGTTATACAGATAACTTGCACAATCAAACAAAAAACTAGAACAGCTGATAATTTACTGTTTTCACATATTATCTAAGATTTAATGTACATAAAATATTACGTAGTTAGTTATGAATACTGTATTGTTTCTAAGATGAGAACTAAGTTTTATTTACACATATATCTTTTTAATGTTATATTATAGGTATATATTATCATTTTTATTGCGTCCCAAGAGGTTAGCGGCAAATTTATGAAGTTATTTTTCCGCGGTGTACGAAGAACAGATAGCCCATTACGTAGCTTTGCTCTAAAACAATAATCTCTTGGATGCTAGTATAATATTATATTTCACATTATTCTAGAATATTTACAAACTGGAGAATATAAAAACATAAAAGTTTTTTTTTCACTGTATTCATATTAAATATTCTTAATTTAGGATATGCCTTCAAATTATTAAAAAAACATCAATGAATAAATCATAAGCACGTTATTTCACCACTAGGGTCAAACTGTGTTTAGTAAAGAGCTCTAGTGGAACTTTACCTTCACGTATCGCCCCCACCCAGTGGCACAACGGTTTGACTGCGGGCTTAAACCGCTAGAAACTGGGTTTCGATACCCATAGCATAGCACAAATAGCCCATTTTATAGCTCTGTGCTTAACTTCAAAGAAACAAGCAGTTAATTATCTAGCGATCGAAACAGTGAACTCGTTATTCTATGGCTTTAAGAGAGGAACCATTAAAACACATTATTTCTACGATCGCTGCTTGCCATTAGATTTCGCTAGTTGCGTTCATAAGATCTGGTCAATCACAAGCTGAAATTATATTGCCTCGAAATGTGTCATCAGCCCTAATGTAATTTCATGTAATCATTCGAATGTATCTCCAAGCCAAACGTTAAAAATTCTTGTGAACGATTTTTATGTTTCAACAAGACACAGCTACGGATCCTTTCAAGTGCTGCAGTACAGGCAAAGTTTATCAAGTAGATTAGGATGTTTTTATATGAAATAGATACATGAATTTGAATACAAACCATTAAGCTGATTTAAACTTTAAGTCTCTGACAGTATGAAATATTAGGTCGTCAAGAAGTTAATGTCGCTTTTTCTTAGATGAAAAAACCAGAACAACTTATATGTCAAAACAAAACATTTAGTAAATTAAATAGTTTCCACTCTTATCAATGATGCTTTTCCATCTTACAATCAGGTTGTTAATGCCTTGATTAAAGAAATCACTTGGCTTTGAAGCAAAAAACATGTCAATGTCCTCTTT